GTTATGTTTTAAATGTATTACCTTATATTTCTGACTTTATTCTCATACATTTACAACTTTTTCCTCATATCGTTAGGGCTTTTTTAGTGATAAATGTGCAGTTCTGTCTCTTTCGTACACCTGGTGGTTGAAAGGTTGAGTTGCATCAAAGTCAAGTTCCAATATTTAAGTCCTTCAGTTTCCGTCAATCTCGAGTCCTAAGACTTTTTTAAAAGAACGACGTAAAAAAGGCGTAACTCACCATTCTTTGATGATATTTTGATATATTTTATTTTTTTTTTTTTTTTTTTCAGGAGAAGCAACACGCTTCCTGACTGATGTTCTCCATGAGGTGATGCTGTTGGATGGCCTCAGCTCTTCTCACCCTATCTCCCAGGAAGTGGAACAAGCGACAGACATCAACCGGGTCTTTGATTGGATAGCCTACAAAAAAGTAAGTCTGTAGAGAAAATCATTCGTTTCGAAGCATAGCGATACCACAGGGAGCTGCTGGTCCACTGCTGCCTCCTGTGGTCATATTGTATTTGAGTCATTTCTAAAGAGCACATTTACCAAATAATGTGTCTCTGTAGACCAGCAGCACCTGTGTCCTTTGTTTTTTGTTTTTTTTTGTTGTGATGACAGCTCAGATGTTGCCGCTGTGTTTTAACCTTGTCTTTGTTCGGTCCTCAGGGGGCAGCACTGATCCGGATGCTGGCAAATGTAATGGGACAACCGCTGTTTCAGGAAGGACTTCATGTAAGTCTGCATCTCTGGTTCAATCTATAGACTGAAAAAATCAAAAAAACAGCTCAGCTAATATAAGTATGAAAAATAAACGTTTTTTTTTTAAAATAGGAAGTTACAGGAAGTTAGCAATTAGCTTAAAAACACTAACATTTTTATCATTCTTATGGTCATTGATTATTTCCGATTCATATGAACACAATTATAAAAATTGAGGTTTTTATTTATTTAACGGAAGTGTAATACACCGTGACATACAGGAGGTCCTCCGTTCACAGCGTCCTCAACGTACAGTGTTTCGTGGTTAAGTCGTCGTCTCCCATATATTTTTTAAGAATGTCTTGTTCCATCATTTCAATGAACAGCATTAAAGACTCGCCAACTAGTTCGCACAAAAACTAGTTGACGAGCTAGGTGGACAAATACGTCCATAAACATAGACCACACGTGTCAAACTAAAGGCCCGTGGACCAAATTCGGCCCGTCAACTCATTTTGTATGGCCCGTGTTTTTTCTTATAATACGGCTCATTTTGTATGGCCCGTGTTTTTTCTAACTATGCATCAATGCACAATATTTCTGACTTGAATACATAATAATCAGTTACAGAAACATATATTTTTACATTATAAGGAAGTTAAAGCTCTAGCGTAGGTGACTGTACGTATGTTCAGTTCTCACTTTCGGCGAAAATCAACTCACGTCCTTCCGTCTCAGACTGTGCGTCTTTTGAAGTTTAGATGTGGAGTTTGGATTCATGGTTTCAAACAATGAAGTTGAGCTTATTCTCTAAGACCAGCCAGAGCCTGGTACTCTGTGAAATTAGAGGGAAAACAGTTCAGTTCGATGGCTGCTTAAAAGTGAAGTGACTGCACATAAAATGGGTTAAGCACAGCTTCCATGATCCACAAACAAACACATACTTGTGTCCCGATTTTTACAGCAGAAACTCGTAGTGACCTGGAACACACCGACAACCTGATTCTATATAAAAAGGCTGCTGATCCAGCAGTGCACGTGTGGTGTCTGTGTGTGTGTGTCGCAGGTCCACACACACACTACAACACCCAAAACACAGTGAGAACATCGGTTTCAAGCCCGCGCTGTGCCACAAAGACTGTGATTTCTCTTTCTTGTAACGATTATTCAGCGTGAACTGGTTTGATTTCTGACATCAGCCTTAAATGTTTATTCAACATGATCACATTTGAATCTAAAAACTCATAACGAAGATGACGGAAGTGAGTCTCGAATTCACCATCTCGTTCATCATCGTAACGACAGCTTTGATACAAACCGCAAAAAAGAAGTACTTTCTGTAATTACGTTGAGAAAATCTGCACTTAAAGGCATCGCTGACGTTTACTGCAGCTGCACAGTTTGCACTTTCACAATGTTCTACTTTTCAGCAGCTCATTTAACACTTCAGGTGGAGTCAAACAGTTCCTTTGTGTGGGTGTGTGTGTGTGTATTTGTGGTTTCAGTGTAGCTATCCTTGAGGGGACAGTTTTCTGATCCACTCTAGGAAAGAGGATCTTTCGAGGATTTCGATTTTAAGTTAGGATTAGCATTAGCATTAGCGTGTTAAAGTTAGGTCGAGACTAAGGCAGACAGCCGTCATGGCTAAGATAGTGTTTCCCAACTTTTTTTGAGCCATGGCACATATACATCATCAGCAAAAACCTCATGGCATACCACCAAACTCAAATCTCACACTAGAAGTATATGTAATGAAATATAATAATATTCTAATTTAGATTTACTAATAATGCACTCCTGTTTAGTTGAAGACAACGCCGATATATTGGCAGGAATTGAAGAAAAGCACTCAAAAAGATCTTCTTCAACAGTTCTGATTATCGTCTTTTAATAATATATTAATAATATTAATAATAATATTAATAAATAATAGTTTCCAGCCCAATTAAGTGAAATTGAATAATTTTCCACGGCACACCCAATGATCTCTGACGTCACACTAGTGTGCCACGGCCCACTGGTTGAGCATCGCTGGTCTAAGGTTATGGAACTCCTTATGTGAAATCTACGTGATTCATTAAAACCAGACCATGTTTGTTTATATAAACTCAACCTTTTTGACTTTGAGGCCCATATTTTTAAAGCGAACTTTCCCACAGCCCATAAGATCGGATTGGAAATTCGGATTGTACGCACAAAATTCTCCTTACTTTTACTACAGCTCGCGTAGGGAACAAGAACTGAATGACGCATTACTGCCACCATGTGGTCTATAGCTGCATTCTAACTGTGAGTTTCTCGTGGATAACATATCTCTGATGTCTTCGGTTGATAACCGATTCAGTCCCGCACCGGAGCAAGGTGCAAACTTCAAAGTTTTTTGCGGACCTCTAGGTGGCACTGGCGGCCCAAGATTTGACCCCATGATAAAGAATCATCGTGATAAACTTTAGTAGCACCCTTGGTTGATGCTGTGTCTAACTGTAGAGGAATCAGTGTCAAAGGTCAAGATTCACGACGTTGTTGTCGTGTGAAGCTGCGTTTTCACTAAATTGCTTCACACACACATACACACACACACACACACACACGACATGGGTTTGTTATCAGTGAACCCACTTTAAACTGTGTTTGGATTACATTCAGGATCACGGTGTTGGTGTGTGTTTATCTCTGCTCATGTCAGCGTTAGAGGAGGTCGGACACACACACACACACACATACACACACACACACACACATTCAACCTTTAGCGTTATCGCACATCATCTCCCTCCAATAACTCTTCTTCTTTTCCTTATCAACCTGCACACCGTGACGAGTGAGTGCCTGTTAGTGGGCTTCAAGAATGAAAACATGTGTACGAACACAAACACACACACGCAAACACACACACACGTTATCGCTCCCTCTTTTATTTCCTTTTTGTTCCTGGCGGAATCCTCCTCCTTTTATTTCCTTTTTTTCGACAGCATCATGAAGCTTTTAGCCAACTCTTTGCAGCTGTAATGAGGTTCTTTCTCTCTTTTTTCTTTTTCTTTTTTTTCCTCTCTGTTTTTCCTTTTCTCCTGATACTTTAGATCAAACCCACCGACACACACACACACACACACCGCCATCACCGAACGCGCTCAGCTTTTCATTTCTTTCTTTCTTTCTTTTTCTTTTTCTTTATTTATTTATTTACTCACTCATTTCATCAGCGACGGTGCCACGGCAGCCTCTAAGCCTCCTTTTGAACTCACCTTCTCCCCAGGATTCGTTCCTTCCTCCTCGCTGTTCATTTTGTTCATTAGCTCGGAAAATATGAGTCACGCAGTCGAGAGCGAGGATCCAGGCCAGAGCCCTTTAGAGTCACGCAGGTGCTAGACTCTGAAAAAGCCTGCTGGCTCCTCGTGTCACTGAGGCTTTGTGTTGTTGGAATCAACACTTTGCTTCTTTTTCTTAAAGGTGCAGTGTGTAAGATTAGGAGATTTATTGGCAGAAAAGAAGAAGAGACGACACATGCAGCTGTATAAAAGTTGGGACCCATCAGTGTCTTTCTACATGTAAATGTGTGTAAAGTTTGATGAAAATCCAAAATAGTCAACTTCCCTTTCGTCCTCACCTTGACCTGATACACATTCTATTGTCGGACACTAGGAGTCTCTGCCGAGTCATTGTATAAAAAATGACCACACGTCATAGAATCTGAGGTCAGTGACTCAGTCTGTCCTGTGTGACGCTCACATCCGTTCTGTTTTCTGATTTCTCTTCAGATACACACTGATACGCCGCCTGTGTGTGTTTTGTGTAATCAAGCCTCATGGAGACACAGGAGCTTCTGTTCTCTTCTGAATGGAAGATTTCAAATCTCAGGCGTTGGCGCTAACAACTCTGGGTTTTTTGTTTTGTTTTGTTTTGTTTTTTGTAAAACACAAATTTCTGGGAGGAGAAACTGAAGGAGTGAAGTTGGTTCATACTGAACCCGAATCCCAGAACTCAGTCTTGTTGTTGTTGTTGTGGTTGTTCACAGGATTACCTGCTGAGTCACATGTACGGCAACGCCGCCAGAGACGACCTGTGGAGCAAACTGTCTCAGGTAACAATCACCGCCACCGCCAGTTTCTGTTATAAAACATCAAACATTTAGCAGAATAATCGTCACAAATCTGCAGTGTTCGTACCAAATTCGTACCAAGATATTCAAATGTTATACATTGTATAGTTTTAGGATGGATGGATGGGTGGATGGATGGATGGATGAACGGATGGATGGATGGATGGACGGATGAACGGATGGATGGATGGATAGATAGGGTCATGACCCCAAGGTTAAGAAACACAGATATAAGCTTTAGTAATTATTAACAATAATAATTAATTGTTCCATGTTGCTGTTATCAACATCTGTTAAAACTAGTGATCGTGTAACTATCAGTATCAACATGCAGGCATCAAACATCTATTCATATCAGTGTGTAGATCTTTGGTGTGAATACAAACATCTGCCGCAGCTCCGTTCCCCGTCTCTGTGGGTAAGTATTTAATTAACAGAATTTAATAATTAAAAAGCCAGAGGTAGACGATTGTTAAAGACTGATTAAACGAGAGTCCGTTTAATTATTTGCGTCTTCTTTGTTAAATTATCCAATCAAATTTCAGGTAATCAAACTGAGAGGCAGTCGTTGTTCATTAGCGTCATTAGCCTGCCCTCGGTACAAACCGAACGGTAATCAGTTTGTTATTGATGAGACATCGGCTTCGTTGATAACCATGCGATCCATCATCGATTGATTTACTTCATTTCTCTCCAGGCCATGCGCTCGGACGGGCGCGACATCAACATCGGCGAGATGATGGACAGGTGGACTCTGCAAATGGGCTACCCCGTGGTAACTGTCAGCAAGAACCAATCAGACCAGCTGCCCACACACTACATCACTGTCAGCCAAGAGCACTTCCTGTACGGACAGGGAGTTTGGAGAAACAGTTCCAGGTTAGAGAACCACCTTAAACATGACATCACGGTCAGTGACAGGATCGAAGGTTCCTGGTCCAGCGCTTGACTCGCCCTCTTCATCCATGTTCACTTCATCCCCTACTGTGTTTTCTTGTTCTTTTCTTCATTACACATTAAATTCTGCTTCCTCCTCGTTCTGCTTCCTGCTGCCTTGTTCAGTTTTGTTTTATTCTCTGTTATATCTCAGTCAATTCCTATTTTGTGGATCTTCTCTTTCGTGTGGTTTCTCTCCTTCCTTGAACCTCTTGCCTTGTTTTACTTTTCCTTGTGTCGTTCTTGCTTTCCGCAGGCTAAACCAAATCTAATTAGCTGTTGGAGTTTACCACATTATTACCTCATTACTGTTAATTGACCTCTCACAGACCTGTTACTGGAACATTGGTAGGGATGCCTGTGTACATAAGGAAACATTAAGGGGTTATGCTGAGAATGCTGCAAGGAAATGGACGGAGGACACATTAGAAAACCCATCATCCATCCATTCGTTCCATCCAT